AATAGAAAAATACCACTCTCAAAAACCAAAGCTCAAAGTAATCTTATGAAATTAGATCATTAGTTCAAAACACTTTGTTTTTTATTAAACTCAACTGAAATATCCTACCAATTCCTCCCTTGTCTCCATAATTATCCCACACATAATTTTGTATTTCAGGTAGTATTACTATAATTATGCAGACAGCAACTGCCTTATACAAGCTCAGTGTGAGAGATTTCTTTCTGCCCAAGTGTATAGGATTGTCAGGTTAGAACAAAAACAGCAATTCACGAGGATTAGGAAAGAGATGAAATGTTGACTACATTTCCCCCCAGCCACATTTACTTCTATTTTAGAACCGAGGGTCTAGACTTAAGGTAGGATAGAAGAGAATGGGAGAATTTACCAGCTTTGCAATATATCAAATTTTACCCAATATGACAACTGACTAGAATACTAGCTTTACTGTAGACCTCTCAACCCAGGCAGAATAACATCCCCCCAAAGACGTCCACATCCTATGACAAAGATGTCTGGAACCTGTGAATTTTACCTTACATGGCAAAAGGACTCTGAAGATATGATTAAATTAAGGATCTTGGAATGAGGGAGATTTATCTGGGATTATCCCATGATGCAGTAATCCACTGGACCCAATGTAATCAAAAGTGTCCTTATAAGTGAAGCAAGGAGGCAGGAGAATCAGAGTCAGAGAAGGAGATGTGACCAGATGTGACCTTCTGCTTCTGAAAACAGAAGCCAGCTAGGAAGATAGATACTTTTGAAGATGCTATTTTGCTAGCTTAAAGATGGAGGCAGTGGACACAAACTAAGGAATGCAGGCAACCACTGGAAGCTGGGAAAGGAAAGGAAACGGGTTCTTCCCTAGAGACTCTAGAAGGAATGCAATCCTACTGACACATTTTAGAATTCTGAGCTTCAGAACTGTAAGATAATAAATTTGTGTTGTTTTAAATCATTACATTCGTGGTCAATTTTACAGTAGCGGTAGGAAATTAATACAACTAGGATTCAACAACCTTGATTTTAAGTACAGAATATCAAAATTGTCCTTGTTTAAAAACATTTCAAAGTGTTACCTTATATACATGTTTGTGTCGATATATTTTATATCTGTTAAATAATTAGTTCGATTTCATGATACCAGAATATGGAAAATTTAGCTAATTCAGAGTTCTTATTTGGTCTTTATGTGAAACGCTATGTAAAAATAAAATAAGGAAGCTGTACTCTCATGTGGTATCCTCTCATTTTAGCTTGTTTCCTTAAAATTCCACTGTAGGAACATACTGCTGTGTTCCCATTTTGAAAACTAGTTATCAGGTTAGGGATTCTCAGCTTTGGCTGAGCTACTGACGTTTTGGACTAGACTAGATAATTGTTTATTGTGTGTGGGTGGGTGATGTCCTGTGCATTATAAGATGCTGAGAAGCATCCCGGGGCTCTATCCATTACATACCAGTAGCACCAGATGTTACCCAATTGTAAAAAACAAAAATGCAGCGAGACATTGTCTATTGTCCCCTAGGGAGCTAGTTAGGACCTCCAGCAAAATATGGACTAAAAGAGATGAGAACAAACATCCATATCTTGTTCCAGATCTTAGTGGAAAACATTTGGTATGTACAATTTGCTTTTTCACCCTCAAATGTGATGTCAGCAGTACATTTTTTGTAGATACCCCTTTTAAGATGGAGGAACTCCCATTCTTTTTCTAGTTTGATGAGAGATTTTATTAAAAATGGTCATTGAATTTTATTAAATGCTTTTCTGTATCTATTTGGAAGTTCAGGCCGGGTGCAGTGGCTCAATGTCTGTAATCCTAGCACTCTGGGAGGCCGAGGCGGGTGGATTGATTGAGGTCAGGAGTTTGAAACCAGCCTGAGCAAGAGCAAGACCTCATCTCTACTATAAATAGAAAGAAATTAATTGGCCAACTAATATATATAGAAAAAATTAGCCGGGCATGGTGCCCCATGCCTGTAATGCCAGCTACTTGGGAGGCTGAGGCAGAAGGATTGCTTGAGCCCAGGAGTTTGAGGTTGCTGTGAGCTAGGCTGATGCCACGGCACTCACTCTAGCCTGGGCAACAAAGCGAGACTCTGTCTCAAAAAATATATATATATAAGTTCATATGGTTTTTATCTTACAGTGTGTTAATATGGAAAGTTGTTAGTTAATTTTTAAATGTTAAAATGAATTCCTGGGATAAAATCCAGTTGGCTTTTATAACATATATTGCTAGATTTGATTTGACGAACTTTTAAAAGTTATTTACATCTACCTTAAAAGTAACCTTGCTTTTATTACCTTCTTAAAGGTTTGATAGAAGTCATCAATGAAGCCCAATTAGGTCTAGAATTTTTACTGTCAGATGCTTAACTATAAATCAATTTCTTCAGAAAGAGAGTGCGTGTGTATTGTTACTTCATTTATCTGTATGTTTCTTCCTGAGTTAGCTTTAGTAGTTTCTGTCTCCCAAGAAATTTTCCCATTTCATCAATGTCAAATTTATTGGCATAAAATTCTGATTGTTATTTTTTTAATGTCCATAGATTCTGTGGTGGTTTGCCTGTTTTATTTCTGATATTAGTAATTTATGTTTATTGCTTTTTGTATATTAGTCTGGCTAGAATTTTATTGATTAAAAAAGCTGATTTCATTAATTTTTTTCTAATTAAAAAAATTTTCTGTTCCTTATCATTCCCTTCTCTGTGCTTATTTGGGTTTAATTTGCTCATCTTTTAATTTTATAAGGTAGAAGTTTAGATCATTAATTTAAGGGCTTTTATCTAAAGTAAAGATTTAATACTATAAATTTCCTTTTAAGAAACAAGTTATCTGTATTCCGCATACTTTGATAGGCTGTGTTTTAATATTTATAGCTAAAAACATTTTCTAATTTCTCTTGTGATTTCTCCTTTTACCCAAATATTTAGGGATTTGCCACTGTGATTGCAGACATAGTTTGTATGATTTCATCCTTTAAATTTATTGGCATCTATTTTATGGCCCAGAATATTTTCTTGGTGAATATTTTTAGTTCCCTTAAAAACCAAATATGTTTGCTGCTATCATTGGTGGACTATCTAATAAATATCAATTAGGTTAAGTTGGTTGAGAGTGTTGTTCAAGTCTTTTAGATCCTCGATGATTTTCTTCTTATTCTGTCAGCTACTGAGAGAAAAAGAATATTCCAATAAGAATGTTCCAATATAATTCCGTGTATTCTCTCACTATTTTTATAGTTTCATTTTCACATTTAGACTTTTGAACTATATGGAATTTCCAGGCATACATAGTAAGATATGGATCCAACTTTTTACTTTATTCCTTTTAGTATCAAAGTATTTCATTATTAATATTTTATTTATTTATGTTACAAATGAATAAGCATTAGCACCATCAAAGAAAATAGAAAGTAATTTTGGAACTTTTATATTTATTAATTTAGGCTGTATGAAACCACATTTCAAATCCAAAAGACTAATTTCTATGAGAAAGTACATAGTATTTAAGACTACACAATATAGAACAATGGAACATTCTCTAAAATAATTTTCTTTTATCTTCCGAATGTTTCCTTTTTAGAAGTAGATTGTTTTAGTTTTTCTTTTGTATCGATTTTACATGTGTTGCAGTGATCCAAGCCATATCAGCTTTGGATGTGAAATTAAAACACCAAGTAGCTGACCCTTCCTATGTAATTTTACAAATCTTGTTAGTCCCTTCTTCCCACCAAGTGCCTTTCAGTCTACTAAGCATAGGGCTCCTAAGTCCTCTTGGAATTAGCTGCTGCAGTTGTTGGTAATTTCGGCGACCAAGCCCACTGTTCAGGCTAGACAACATTGCTCAAAAAAGTAACAATTCTTTCCCATAGTCATTGTGCTGCTGACGCTGCTGTCTGCTCAGTTCTTGTCATCTCTGCCTCTGAGGCCCTGCGTTTGGGATTTGGAAAAACAATCTTCGCACCCATCGGGCTTAACAGGGCAATTCTGTTTAAGATGAAATGTTTTCTAGTCCGGTAGTGACAGCAGGAGAGAGCCCTACTGAATCTCCCTGCTTCTTTAGACTTTAGCCCACTCTGTCATGCATGCTCCCCCATCAAGGCCTTTGTACCTGGTACTCCTTCTGCCTGGGTGTAACCACGAGGTTCACTCCCCACCCTCTGCTGCTTCACTGTTTCAGTCTCACCTACTCAACGAGGTTTCCCTGACCATCCTACGAGAATGACATACTGCACCACTCTCCACTTAGTACGGTCGCTATATTTTCTCCTCCATAGAACTTATTTTCTAATATATGTTATAATGTATCTACTTGTTGATTTTGTTTTTCTTGGTTTCTTACCTGGAATATAAAATCCATAAAAGTTGGGATTTTGTTTCATTCATTTTGGATCCAAAATGCATAGAATAGTGCCTAATGCTGAGTAGATGCTAAATAAATATTTACTGAATGAACAGTACCTGGAAGTATAGCTTATTCCAGCTTCCTTGCCATCCACTCAAGCTTCAGGACCTCACAGGACCATTCACCATTAGGCCATAACGGGACTGGGCCACTTCTCCATGGCAGGACCCAATTTGAAACACATGTGCCCTTCGTTTCCCAAGAGAGAAGGTAAGAATTCCTTAGGTCACTTCCCTGCTCCGTTTCCTCTTTCCATGGAAGTGTAGCTTCCCTTCTTCAACAACCTACCCTCTACCCCACTACCAAAGTCCTTTCTCCCTTATTGGGGCTCTAGATTCTGTCCCAACTCCTGTCTTCTGGAGGCCCATGTTTCATATGTGCTATACAATATTTAAAATTTTTCATGATTATCCAACCATGGAAAAGTTATTTAATCTTAACCACTTAATGAGGATGAATTAAGAAATATTAAATATATAAATATGTATGCATAAAAGTATTTAACTTTAAAATTAATAATGTAATTAACTCCTACCAAATTTGAATAAAATGTCACAACACAAAACCTTTTCAAATAGAGTTGTTTTATTATTGAAAAACAACATTACTGGGGTTTTTCTGTATGTATCATTTGTGATATTAAACATGTACTGTCAAATATATATATCTAAGTGGAGAAGAATACAATTTATTTTGTCATGAAAGAGCTGTGTTTTCAAAGGCTTTTAAAAAGGTAAAAATGAAAGTTCCTCTTAAAAAAATGACACTTAGAAATTAATGGCATCAAAGTCACACTCACTAAAGGAGGAAAATAACAACCAATTTTAAAAGCCATCTTAACATAAACTTTACTGCAAATATACAATTCTTTTAAACACAGTATATAGAAAAGAGAATAACCTCTAAGACATTACAGCTTTCTTCTCTGGTATGTCCAAGAACAAATTTGGCTAATGACTGCTGAGTTATAAAATGTCCTACCTGAGAAATCCCTCTAGATTGTGCATAGCCTTTTACTTTTAAGAGGTCCTATAAAAAGATATAAATCAGTTTCTAGAAGAGCTACTATTGCCCTATGACAAAAATTTATTTTAGGTTATTTTAATACATTAACATAAGGAAATTCCAGTTTAAAAAGCATTTCAAACCAATACGAGGCATTCAAAAATAGCCATTTGGTTAAGGTTAATTTTTTAAAGCTAAAAAAACAAACAAAAAAGTCCCCCCCATCTCACCCCTCAAAAAAAAAGCCAGCGGTGGTACAACTGCCCAATTATGTTTGTTTGTTTGCTTTTTACAAAAATAAATTTACCACCTGCTGGAATTCCAGCCTAGGAACCAGCCTGTGAATGTGGGTGGCTCATGGCCCTGTTTTATGATGACAATTGGTGTCCTCTTGTCTCTTCCAGAAGGGTCTGTCTGAAGGTACATCTTGGCTAAAAGAGTTGCAAAAACATATAAATTCAGTTAGCTTTGGCTAAACTAAAATAACCACAGAATTAGAATTCTTCCAGTAAAAGTAATAAATTTTCATTGCTCTCAAGTAGACAAATATAAACAAATTTCTTTTTTATTTCTCTCATCTGCTATGGAAAGCATAATGAGTCTCATTAATGCCTGAAAAAAATTCAAAACTTTATGGAATTATTTTGATGGCATAATCATTGCTATACTTTAAATAAAAAGAAAATTGTGCCAGAAAGAACAGCATTAAGTTAAAAAAAAATCTAGGCTCTCACAGTTATGGAGGTTTTACTCTTCTCATATTAAAACAAGGGCTTAAGTGAATTTAAGTTTATCAGAATGAATCGATAGGATTATATTCTAAATTAGGTAACAAAACATCTTTTTCTTGTGCACATTCTGAAATTCTTCAGTTTAAAAAAATGCCATTACTTTTTAGTTCTGAAGATGAAAGCTAAGCTACTTCTCAGTTTTGATATATATTTTTGGAAGATCTGGTGGCAAAAAGCAGTCAGGTTACTGACGTAATTGTCCATGGGATCTTACCAGACTTCAAAGATTCTGTTTTCTCAACTTCATTAGCATCTTTTCCAATCCAAATAAATATCTGAAAAATGAAACAATAACAACATGTACTGTTTTTGGAGTGTTGGCTCAGCACTAGGCCCTATGCAAAGTTCTTCACTCACAAACAGACACACACACACACACACACACACAAACACACACACACTGCTCATTCAATCTTTACAACAACCCCAGAAGTTAGGGAGGTAGAGGTGGAGGCCCAAAGAATTCTAATCATTTCCCCAATGTTTACACTTGTCAGGAGACACCTAAATTTACATCCAGTTTGACTCCAGATATCACACTCTGACACTTTATGTTTACATGGTATTTTCTAGTTTGTGAAGTGATCTTTCACGAAAACAACAGATTGTCTAATTTTCTGGCATCTGTCCCCTGGGATGGGAAAGCAGTTAAAGGAAACCAAATATTTCCCCTCAAAATATACTTTGACATATTTTGAGATGGCTATTCAGGGGCCTGAAAACAGAAGTAGCCCTGCAAAGCTGGCTTTCGTGGGGGAGATTTGCACCTGTAGAGAAAACCTGTATTGATCCAGCAGGGCTTTCTCTGAGGTCCTCCCTTGTACAGATCTAGGAAAGATTAACTGAGAGTCTGACACCTTTAAAAGTCTGAAAGAATCATTTCCCATGCATTCTCTAAGGGTTGCTACCTGTGAGGTTTCATCTGTATAACAAGCCCACCCTAGCCAGGCCTCCTCTTCTCCCCATCCCATAACCCACCTCGCCACACTCCAGGCCCCTCTTCTTTCTGTAACCTCAAGCTGGTGTAAAAGTATCAACCATCTGGCCATTTCTTTTGAGGTTTTTGTGTGTGTGTGTGTGTGTGTGTGTGTGTGTGTGTGTGTGCGACATAGTCTCACTGTGTTGCCTGGGCTAGAGTGCCATGGTGTCAGACTAGCTCACAGCAACCTCAAACTCCTGGGCTCAGGCAATCTTTCTGCCTCAGCCTCCCAAGTAGCTGGGACTACAGGCATGTGCCACCATGCCTAGCTAATTTTTTTCTATATATTTTTAGTTTTTCTATATATTTTCATTTATATTTTTAATTTCTTTCTATTTTTAGTAGACATGAGGTCTTGCTCTTGCTCAGGCTGGTTTCGAACTCTTGACCTTGAGCTATCCACCTGCCTCAGCTTCCCAGAGTGCTAGGATTACAGGCGTGAGCCACCTCGCGCAGCCTCTTTTGAGTTTTCATATTTTGTATGACTCCTGTGCCTGGTAAGAAATTTGTATGCCTTTGCTCCTGTTCACCAATCTGCCTCATGTCAGAGGCAGTGACTTTTCAGGGAACCTTTAGGGGGCCAAGGGCCTTGGTCCCTTCAGCAGCATAGAAATGCAAATGAAAAGTATGATTTTAAAAATGAAACCCAGTACCAGAAATATTCTCAGGTATCCATGACAGTAGAAACAACAGAGTTAGGGTGGAATTTCCTGAACTCCTTCAACTACAAATGAGAATAGTTAAATACTTCTGAATAAGGAAATGTAACTCATTTAATTATTAAACCCACAAAGGTGTTTTATTGACATGAACTTTTTTTTTTTTGAGACAGAGCCTTGCTCTGTTGCCTGGGCTAGAGTGCCATGGTGTCAGCCTAGCTCACAGCAACCTCAAACTCCTGGGCTCGAGTGATCCTTCTGCCTCAGCCTCCTGAGTAGCTGGGACTACAGGCATGCGCCACCATGCCCGGCTCATTTTTATATATATATATTAGTTGGCCAATTAATTTCTTTCTGTTTATAGTAGAGACGGGGTCTCGCTCTTGCTCAGGCTGGTTTCGAACTCCTGACCTTGAGCAATCCGCCCGCCTCGGCCTCCCAAGAGCTAGGATTACAGGCATGAGCCACGGCGCCCGGCCTGACATGAACTTTTAAATCTCATATCAATATGATCCATTTACTTGGGAAGAATCTGAGACTAGATCCTTAATTCAAATAAGGCCATTGTAGACTAGAAGCTAAGGTGTAATATAACTAAACGGCTTCTCGATTAGGAACAGACCTAAAAGTAACAATCTCTGCACTTGACTCCAAGACTAAGCCTAATTCAGATAAGCAAAGCATTTCATACTTGTTCTATATGATTTAGTTCACAACATATTTATTTTTCCTTTCACTATTAATTTACATGCACATGAAAATAACTATAAGATGTGGCATGTGGAATCATCAATTGTTTCCTCCAAAATTAAGATATATATAAGAGTAACATATTTTACTATGTAGATTCAAAACCATTCTGTTTCTTCCCCAGGGAAGGGGTCCCCTATGACTACTTGTCAATTTCAAGAGAAATTCTGAATATTTTTACCCCTGTGGCATTGTACACATTAATGCACTCATCAGTTAAATGAATTATGAATAAATTAGGAGTGAGGGAATTTTACAAATAAAAGGTTTTTTGGCCAACAACTGAAAAGCCAAAAGTGGAAGCCATGGAATTATTTCCACAGTAAGAAATCAACTTGCAATATTTATCAATTTTATTTTTTGCCAAACTCTTGTTTCCTGAGTTTCTTTTAAATACAACTTAAATCTCTAAGCTCATTTATTATTAGACTTGCCATTTCTCAAAGCAGGTTCTGTCAGTTCCCAACTATAAATGCATTCTCTTGTGAACAAAGTATAGTTTTACCTGTTCCCAAGCATCTAGTAACATGACATCATCTTCTGCTAAATCATCCTGAGTGAACTCTCCTGGAACCTCTTCAATCTGAAATGTATGAAAAGTTTTATGGCCAAACAGTAAAGCAGTAATTTTTCTAATATACAGGATATAAATGCCATGTATTATTTTAGAATACAGTGAAAATAAAATACGGTAGTCATTGTTTTCTTCCTTTTTAGGTAATAAACATTTAACTAATTGTTCATCTGTTTAATTTGGTATCACAAACTAATGGTATCTTATTTGGCTAGCACAGTGCTTTATATTGTACATTGAATTTATGAATTTAAATAATTCAAACTTAAAGCTGTTAGAACCTTAGATTATTCTGAGCCTTGAGAGGAATGTGACTATGTATGGCCTGAGTCATGAGGCATGCAGCTGCAACTTCTGCCTTTTTTTTTTTCTGTAAATTATTATGAAAACCAAACAGTGTCAGAAATAAGAACCTCTCAGATCACTACCCTTCCTCCTGGAGTAATAATCTTCCTTGGAATGTTGCAAACTATAATCAATCAAATCACTATAATGAATGCACTGGTTGTGTATGAAAAATGTTGTAACCCTGCTAAAATTTCTCTGTTTCTGCCTGTATCAGGGAAACCTTAAATTCACTTTGGAATTCTGACCCCATTCGTTTGGAGTTGCTGTTTCCCAAGTGGCTAATCCTGAAGCTTTGTACTCAAATAAATTCTATATTTAATCATATTTTCTGAATATCATCATTTAAGCTTGATACATTTGAATGCCCAGGTAGGACATATATAGTCTATTTGCCCACAATTCTCTGTACTTCCAGTTCTTTATGACAAGTTGATTCACAGATTTATGTCATCTACATGGTCCATGAAGACATTTTACTTTATGGCCTGACTACAAAATTGTTTTTCATTTTGTAGGCCCAGATTAGTTTTAGCAAGTCAATAGGTTTGGTCATTTTAATAAGTGAATAATTTTCAAAAAGATGACATTACAACATAACATTGCATATGCAAAATTTCATGATTTTTATTTTTAATGGGTTAAATTGTGTTCTCTATAGGTAACATTAAAAGGTAATGGGGAAAGATAGTTTAATCCACCCAATGCCAATGGGCATGCCTTAACTTATAGAGAATTCTGGATGAAAACAACCTCCCTGATCCATAGGCAGGAGTTTGGATTACAGTTCCCAGTTCTTTACAGGGATGCCTCCCTCTGCCATCTGATTTTACAGTGCAGTTGAGTAGGTGGAGGTGACTGTGGCCTTGGCCATGCCATATTAGCAAATGTGACTCAGTAGGGCCCTTATTGTGTTCCTTGGCTCTTTCACAGGAAAAACATGCATAAACCCAAACTGCAGCCTGAAGGAGAACCTTCCAGCCAACACCAGCCTAGATTAACCTAGTCCCAGGCAGCCTGCAGACCTCTGAGCATGACAATTCATGATTGTTGTAATCTGATGAGATTTTTGAGACTATTATACAAAACAAATAAATAAACAAACAAAAAAACCCCTGACCATTTAAAGGACAAGAAATTTGTTCATATTATCTTTTTACAGGATATGTACCAATCAAATAATGATTTTTTTTAAAAAACAAAAACCTTAAATACCACTTACTTGGTGCCAGGTGCTAGTATAATCTTTTGTATGCAATAACTAATTTAGTATCAGCAATAATCCTATGAAGTAGGTACTACGACTATCCTCATTTTACAGTGGAGAAAACAATGGTACTGACAAAGTAACCAGCCACTTTAAAGGCAAACAGCCAGTAAGTAATATCACCAGGTAAGTGGTATCACATAGGCAGACTGGTTTTAAAAGCTGTGTCTTTAACTAATAGGTTCTGCTGCCTTTTATGAATCTACACGTGTAAAGCTTGCTTTCTCATAGTGATTATAAGATCAAATACTTATTAGCAACAATCTTTTTCCTTTAACTGTGAAGGTAGCAGAAGGGGCTCTATATATCAAACAAGAAAATAAGTAGGTATAGAGGAAATGTGTATTTCTATTAAAGGCTAATATATGTGCATAACAAAAAGCCAGATAAAGACTAACAGATTTTTTAAAAACCTGACTGAGAACAAAGCCTAGGTATTTATTTTTGTAAAATTTATCTTTTCTAGAAACAAACACCTAATGTATAGCAATATTAGCAAAAAATATTAGTAAGAAATTATAGAAGCATATGCTGAAAAATGAGTTGTTTAGATGCAATATCAAATTAACAGTCAAAACAATAAAACAGCAGATTTTTCTGATGACAAATTTACAAAATACAGGAAATTCAGGGATTTCTGGTAAAGTAGGTGAGCAAATTGTGCCCAACAACCAAATATTTATCTCAATGCACTATTTAAATCTTTAATTTTTAGGTCAAATCACTTATAAGCTTCAAGTGGGGCTTATACATGAATAGTTTCTTCATCAACAAATTTTATTTCTAGTAATCAAAGAACCTGGGGAAGTACATAGGAAATCTTCTTGCATGTGTATTGAAAAATGAAGTTTGCATTCACTAAGGCATGTTGACCAAATCTGTAGGTCAAATTTTAAATGAAAAAGCAATTCATTCTTTTTTGTTTGGTTTTTTTTTCAGTGGTATTTAGGCTGAGAAATTCATTCTTTAATGAAAAATTTATGAAAAGCCTACTATATCAAACAGAGAAAGAAGAATTTTTCTGGTAAACTGTGGTGAAGGGCTGTGGACCCAGAGGGTATTTCAGAGCCCAGTATAAAACCACTCTTGTGCTGTTATGGATTGCATGTTTGTTTCTTTCCCAAATTTTTATGGTGAAGCCCTAACCCCCAGTGACATGGTAGTAGGAGGTGGGGCTTTTGGAAGGTAAATAATTTTAGATGAGGTCTTGAGGTTGGTCATGTGGTTATCAGTGTCCTTGTTAGAAGAGAAAGGGATGTTATGCTCTTTTGGTCATGTGAATATACAAGAAGGCTAGGAATTGGGCCCTCACCAGACACCAGATCTGCTTGTGCCTTGATCTTGGACTTTCCAGCCTTCAGAAATATAAGAAATAAGTGTTTGCTGTCTAAACCTCCAAGTCAATGCTATTTTTCTTATAGCAATCTGAAAGTTAAGACATTTACACACATACTTCTAATTTTACTTCTTACTGCCCAGAAGTCAAAACCTGCTAATGACTATAAAATACAACATTCCTGTTGATTCCAACTAATTTACAGGTGTATAAGTAGCTCTCCTCTGTGATTTTCCCCAATGATGATAATATTTCTATAATATTTTTTTATTCAGTTGACACAGTAAAAATTTTGATTCCCCTGGGGAAATTACATGTTAAATTTACATAGTTTGATCAGAGACAACTATTGCTGCCCACAGAAAGTGGGAAGTTATTAAATTAGCAAATCTATTCACATACATTTTCATACAGCATCTACGGCATGCTGACATGGATGTAAAGTGGCTGATATTTTTAAGAGTAGCTCAATTTATAAAATTGCACTACAATTTTAAGGCTTTCATATCCATTACATCACTGACCCTTAAAACGACCCTGTGTAGAGAAAAGATTGTCATCCGTGGTTGGCAGGTAAGGTGAAACTGAGAATGAGAACAGTGACACCTCTGGAAAGTGTCAAAGCCAACATGGGAATGCCTCTCCCAATGTTGTTAGGTTCTGTCTCACTGTTTTTTTGTTTTTTATTTCAGGATATTTTTAAAGACACTTACGATGAATCTTCCAGTTTTGTTAGAGCAGCCGTAAAGTCGAGGTGGATGGTCTTCAGCCTGGGTTTCTAGTAGTGGTGAGGTCTGGTAGTCTTTTTTTCCTCCAAGGGAATTCCAGAACTCCTCTGTGAAAAACACAGTTAGCTATCCAGTGCATTTTTTAGGAGCATATGGTTGGTATTGCTTTACATTAACAATAACATCTCACCTTGACTTTAATGTTAAGAAGTTACTTAAACATACCCGGTACCATCACCCACTTTTGCAACTAAGAGAGGGTTTCTTAACCCCTATAGTCATTACAAAGTTACCTGTTCATGAAAAAATTGATTAGCAGTCATATCAAACAATAATTCTGGTAAGTGTCATTGACCCCACAGCACACACCTGGTTCCTCGCCTTCCTGAATCCTTAAGGTTTTGCACTTGAGAACACTTGCTACGTATTCTGCTCCTTTCTCCTCCTCCTGGCTAGCACCTTTTCCTCTCCAGATGTAGCCACTATTTTGTGGCAGTTTCAACACAAAAACATCATTGGAATTCAGTGAATTTGCATCAACATCAACCTAGAGTATGAATATGAAGAGAAATAATACAGTGATTCAAATTCATTGCTGCTCCCTCAATATATATGTCCCAGAAGCTGTGACTGTGACAAACCATTCACAGCCTTCTGCCCTATCCCAGGAAACTAATTCAGGGCAGCCCTGGGACACCACTGTGGTGTTTGAAATATTAGAGTAGGAGCCCTTTGGTCTGTGTCCCTCTAATGCTCAAGGGACCTCAAAACACTAGTAGCACAAGGGTCCAAGAATAAAATTAATCAAACTTAACTTACAGGGATTAAGGGTTTTGGAAAGTAACAAGAATAATATTCAAAGATACCATAAGAACAGGATGGGCTATAATTGACGATTCAAAAGAGGGCATAGCATTCATAAATGACATAACTAAAGCAAAGATATTCAGTTTTTTCCTCCTCCACTTGAGACACAGTTTATCAAATAATCAAATGGAAACCTAAACAACATAAAACAGGGAATGGAATTCAATACTGGCAAAGAGATAATACTATACATTCACTAAGAGATTCTTCAGGCACAGATTAATTATAGCTTAAATTATAAGATGCTATTTATGGGGAATTAAAAGCACAGCACTAACATACTTCTTCCTTCCAACTGAGAAGCTGCGGACACTGTCTGGAATCCGCCACGTGAGCATGGTTCTAGTCCATGTGGGCCACAGAGGAGTGACAGGGGCCTGGCTGGGTCCAGACTCTGCCCCAGGTTGAAGCTGAAGGTGCAATCTCTGAACAGGGACAAGGCACGTGCAGAGTCTCAGGCTTGGTAGTGAGCACAAAGGCCCTAGGATGGGCTTGTGTCTGTGACCTTCTGATTTGGTGACTTTGTGTCTGTCTCTGTGAGAACTGCTCAGCCGTATGACTGTGTTGCTACACCACTGTATATCACTTTATGCATAATTGTGGAACTGAATGTGATGTGTGATTCCAAAGACAGGAAGAAGAGCTAGTAACCAAGACTGAGACCTTGCAGCCGAGAGGGAAGAAGAAAACAAGAGGGTGTGGTGATCTTAAGGCCAAGTGAAGATAATCTGTCAAGAAGGCTGGGGTAACCTGCTGTGCCAAATGATGCTACTTGGCCAACCACACTGAACAGCCAGGACGAAGGCATCAGCTATGTGGAAAGTTGAATTTCACTAGGTTTGCTGGGACCGTGTCCCCAGAGAGAAGACTAGAGGAGGAAGGAACAGCTGTTGGAAGTTTTAAAGACATGTCTCAAGGATGGGTACCACTCAGGGGGGAAGTTATGGTACTCTACCAGAAGGAACGAGACCTAACAGACAAAGTTCCAAGGACTCTATCAGATGTGCTGATGGAGGATTATACAAACCAAATCTGGCTTTCAGGGCTTGCAATTTCTAACCCTTATGTGCCCTTGTTGGTACAGAGGCAAGAGCTGGGATGATGGAGGGAAGGTGGCAAAGGCCTGTGCTAAGACTGGGGAGAGATCAGGGAGGAAGACCTACAACAGAACATTTGTAAAGCTTTAGCCTGCCAGGAGAGGAAGACAGTATACCTTATAAAATGATCTTGACTAGTGCATTTTCAGAGAGGCTGGGAATGTTGAAGCTGGTGTGAGAGGCCATAAGAAAATGAGGAGATGCAGTGCAAGCCACTGATGATGTCTCATAAAGAAATGAGTACTGTGGGAGTGATCAGGAATATAACAATGCTACATTTTGGTTGGCTTTTCCATCTGAAATCAACTGAGAATGCCCACAGAAGAAAGGTTAACTGTCAATTTGATAGTTTAAAAAAGTTAGTTATAAGTGAACACAGCAGAATCTGTGCACAGAATATTCTGGATGAGATCTGTGTATTAATACATGCTGGCACTTAAACTATATGACTGAATGAGACCACTATGAAGGGGGCAAAGACTGAGCCTTGGAGCACTCAAGTGCTTAGAGGTCAAGCAGAAGAAGAAACTCCAGCAAAATTGCCCCTAGAAAAGTGACCGGTAGGTTTGGAAGAAATCATGATATTTATGGTATTATGGACCCCTAGTGAAAAAAAAAAAAAAAAGTGTTCAAAAAATAGAAAAGGTTGACTCTGGCAAATGCTGGTGGGAGGTTAAGATAAATGAGATTAGGCTGGGTGTGGTGGCTCACTCCTGTAATCCTAGCACTATGGGAGGCCCAGGCGGGTGGGTCCTTTGAGCTTAGGAGTTTGAGACCAGCCTGAGCAAGAGCGAGACTCCATCCCTACTGAAAAAAAAAAAAAAAAAAAAAAAGAAAAGAAAGAAAGAAATTAGCTGGACAACTAAAAATATATATAGAAAAAATTAGCTGGGCATGGTGGCGAATGCCTGTGGTCCCAGCTACTCAGGAGGCTGAGGCAGATGGATTGCTTGAGCCCAGGAGTTTGAGGTTGCTGTGAGCTAGGCTGACGCCAACAGTACCCTAGCCTGAGCAACAGGGCAAGACTCTGTCTCCAAAAAAAAAAAAAAGAAAAGAAAGAAAAGAAAAGAAAAGAAAAGAAAAGAAAAGAAAAGAGAAAAGAAAAGAAAAGAGAAAAGAAAAGAAAAGAAAAGAGAAAAGAAAAGAAAAGAGAAAAGAAAAGAAAAGAAAAGAAAAGAAAAGAAAAGAAAAGAAAAGAAAAGAAAAGAAAAGAAAAGAAAAAATGAGATCAGAGAAGTAACCTTTGATTGTGGGACAAGGCAGGTACCAAGCAAACTAGATGAAAACTACTTCAGTGGAGTGGTGGGAATGGACACCTGATTGGACTGGCTTTAGAGAGAACAGGCTTAAAAAGTAGAGAATGGGAGTGAGTGAAGACTCTTTCAACTTTGTTTCAAGACAAATCTTTCAAGCATTTATGCTCTTAAAAAGGACAGAGAAATGACGTGATAGTAGGACAAGATCAAGATCAGAGTAACGACAGTTTTTAAAGAAATGATGGGAGGCTTTTGCCATCTTTGTAGTTCAAAGTAAATGATGCAGGATAGAAGAATGAATTAATGATACAGAAGAGAAAGGGGACTATTGCCTGCAATCATGATGAACTGGAAGTGGGATACACACATTAGAAAGAGAAATCTAGGAACATCCTCAGGAAAGCAAGATAGGAGGGAATCTTAGACAGAAGTTGGGGGCAGGGAGGGGGTGGGAGGAATTTGGCCTTAGAGAGCCAAATTAGGAGCTGTATTGGTTAATCTATGTAATAAACATTTATTAAATTATTTATTGATATATCACTTCATATTATTCTTTGCTAATTTATGGATAATAATATATTGATATAAATTTATAAAACACTTCATTATTTATATGAAAATTACTAACATAAGATATTTATACATTTTAAAATATAAATAAAATTTTAATATTTATGTCACAAAACAGGAGGGAAAGGGATTATGTATGTACAGATGAAAACAAGTTGGTAAAATTGCAGGGGAGTAAATTAGGTGATTCAGGTGGGAGTATATTTATATTCTCTGTGAACTCTGAATCAGGGTATCGGCAGAGAGCAGAGGGTGCCGGGGGGGAGAGGAGGGCAGGGAGGGTATGAAGGATGAGGAGGGTTCACAGATCCAGCTACGGGACTGGAGAATTGCTGGAACGTGCACCCTGGGGTAAAGGAGCCACAGGGCAAGAGATGATTGTCAGAGATTAGATGATTGAAAGAGATTTCTGAGTAGGTATATTTATTGCTAATGGCAACATCGAGTATTGTACCAGGAAGATGTGAGATGAAATGGAGTCAAGGAAAAGGCTGTTGGGAGAGAGAAACCAGAGTGATGGAGATAGTGAGGCAATGGCTGAAGCCATCAAAGAATAAGAGTCAAGGACGGGCAGCTCAGTAGAGGACAGCATAAGAGGGGTGGAGGAGGGAGAGGCTGATGAGAGGAGAGAAATCAAAGACACCAGGGGGGTACCCCGTCCAGTCCACCCCTGAGGCCCTGGTGAGTGGGCACTGGGGAAAACCTAACTTCCACTTAAGAGGGCTGCACAGGAATTGTGCTCAGAGGACAGTTGTAGCGCAATAAGGTGAAGAAGGCAGGAAGCTTCCAGAAAAGATTGCAGGTGGAGGGTGAGATGACCGATCCTGTTTTAAGGTCTCTGCAGAATGACCTCCATGGAGGGGAGGTGTTGGTAGAGGGAATGTGCAGAATGTGCAGGCAGTTTAGTGGTGACGTGGGAGGCTTGGATTTCAGTGGTGACTGAGGTGACTGGGATACAGGTGGGACAGGATTGTCCTACAGGTCAAAGCACTTAGCCATTTAAAAATCTGGGCAGGCTGTTCCTGTCTATACCTGGAGGTCTTATTTTGTGTCTCCATGATGAGGGGTTTGATTTCTATCCCAGCTGCTGTCAGAACCTCTCATTTGGCCAATACAGTGAAGGTTCTAATCCAGTGTGGCAGGGTGAGCCTCCCACATTTGTTATGCTTGTACAAACAAGGGTCTTCCCACTTAAATGTCCCCAGTGTGCTCAGTCATCTGACCATCACGTGTGATCCGTCTACCTCAGGCCTTTCAAGATAGAGCTTAAGCTGCCTCATTTTTCTGACAGCTTGATTTGTTACAGTATTCTGAAAATTCATTTGTTTGGGTTCAATGCAGTTGAAAAATGTGAGAGGCCTGGTATTTGGAGTTTCACTTTTCACTCGACTCTCCTTTTGGTGTTTTTTATTGTGAACAGTGGGCTTGCCAAGTTTTAAAGACCACTATTTGTTGATGGCTCAGGTCCATCGGGAAGTCCATAACTAGGGCATGTTTTATTGAATGCGTGACATTACCTCTACAATCCTGGTGATGGATGCCAGGTTTCTCCGGACTTGAAAGAGGCGTGTAGGGGGAGCAGGTGCCTGACCTCCTTTCTTTGATGTTCCATTCTTGTAAATAATGAGCGGTTTGTCTTTGAACAAACTCAGCAGGTGAACAGGCTCTTTGCCTTGGGAGACTCGGATCTGGGAGGGGGAGGGGGGAATTAGCAGAAATATAATACAGAGTGCAATGAAAGAAGGTTGTATTTCTAAACATGTTCTTACTTTTTCTTTTTGAAAATAAAAATTAAAAAGTCAGGAGCAGGAAGAATGGTGGTTAACAGAAAATATAGGTTTATGATAATCAAGCACAGTTTCCTCATTGACTTAAGAATCTTTCATTACCCCAGACACAGAGTCTCTGACTAGTTCCTAGTTGGGGCAACGGTGCCATACTGCAGCACTGCCTGCCGTAAGTCTGTCCATCCACGTCTCCAAAGAGAAAATCAATCACAAAGTGCTGGTGTCTGTGAACTTATAGGAAAATGCCTCTTCTTTCAAGAGCATCAACATTTTACACATGTTTATAGAAGTACTAGATTCTCATGAGTTTTGGGTCTGGTTCAGAAAGTTAAGAGAAGTACATTCAAGGGCTTCAAAAAATAAGATGACACATGATCATACTCATTATTTCTATATCCCCATATTTATGAGATTTTAAAAAGTCACACACACAGGAAGATTTCTATCCAAGTATTAAAACCCGGCAAAACTGAACATACTTTCCACTTTTTAACTTACCTATAGAAATGGCAATAGTAGATGTGTTCAATGCAAGCAACTTATTTTTTATATACTACAAAGACTTTTCAGGATGAAGAAACTTTTCAGGATGAAGAAATAAATGGTAAATTATTTGCCTGACAACACCAAATATTGGATTAGAATTTCCTATTTTTCACATAAACTATTGATGTATTTTTTTCCTTACAATAAAGAGCTCAAATTTTGTGTCAGTCCCTTACTTTTTCCATTTGTTTTGCCTTATGCTAAAATCGAACTTTTTCTAGAAACCAGGTGAACGAGTAAGCCAATGCACCTACCATTATGGAGAGGCCTAGGGAGCATTGAGAATAACTGACTTTGTAAGACTCTTAGGCATTCAAATAAGTGAGCAGTAAATTATGGAAATGTTTCTTCAATCACAGGCCCAGAGCTTGGGATGGGGGTAGGAGGGAATACCCACTTAGGTTAGTATTGCACATAACACTGAGAAAACTTCAATTGCCAACATAAGAGAAAGGGGGCCACTGACTAAGGCCCATCCCCTAATATGAAAGGAAAATTAGACAGAAAAAAAGGTAGATTAAACAATTTTCAATATTGTTAATATACTCTAGAAAGGAATGTTTAAAACAGCAATACAGCACTTTAGTTTTGTGTGCAGTATTATAAACTACTGCCACCTGGTGATTAAACTGAAAATTACCATTTTCTTGTCAGGATTCAACTGGTTAAAACAATTCATGGGAATTCATTAATTGGGTAAATCAAATATTCTACTCTGAAATATGGAATAGGTAAGGCACAACGCATATATTCAAAGTTTTTGAATAATTTGGTAAGAAATACTTTAAGGATCAACTTAATGGCAAAGTTGAATGCATTTAAAGAAGTTAATCAACTTGTTAATTTGTTAATTAACAATTAATTAGCAAGTTAATTTGTTAAAAAAAAGTTAATATGCACCTTTACATTTAGATCTAACTTGCTTTATGTATCTATTAACAAGTACCAAGATGGCAAGGAAATCAGCTAGAAAATCAAATTCAGCCTCATCTTAGATTTTGTGTTCTAAAGTGTCTGTCTTACCTCTCTGTTTAATTATTACATTTGAAAGGGCAATTAAACAATTATAAAGATTTGACAAAATAAAAAACTTGTTTACCACATAAACCCTTAGCTTACTTGACATCATGAATGAGGAAATTAGACACAATTGTGCAAAGGGAATCCTTAATCCTGCTGTATCAGAAACGTCACTACAACACCTGCTTTCAGTTTGGACGCTGATCTGGAAGGTACAGTTCCCGATAGATGGGGGCAGACATCTTCTCAAAAACTGGCCAGAGAAAACAGACAGGTGGAGATAGTTCCAGTGCTGCAGCAGCTCAGCTAGGAACGGGGGTGAGGGGGAAGAGTGCACGAGCGCCATCTAGTGCTAGTGTAGGGACAGGGAACAAGCAGTAGACAGACACATTGCAGCACACTAGAGGGAAACAGGTCTCCTTGAACTATGTATTTCAGTTACACAGTAAGGAATTAAGAAAGACCAAGAGTTTCCTGTGGTTACTAATAAGGATCTTGAAATAAGTAGCAGATACTTCACCCATACACATAAGAAGAGGAGCAGCTGAACTTCAGAAAAGAAGACAGAAGGTTGAACCAGGCTGGAAACAGTCCCTTAGACACAGTGAGGAGATCTAGAACTAGATATTGGTATTGCATGACATTCAAATTTTTATAATAAATAAATCAATACATTAGCCCTTCTGGATCCCTTTTCTCTATCTCAATTGCTCTCTCTCTCTCTATTTATATGAAATTGTCATTTTGAATTTAGATTCAATCATCTCAACTTATTCTTTTATTTTCGGAAATACCCAAAAAATACATCTCTCTCCTTTGTTCTTTCCTCTTCTCTCCTCCCTTCCCCTCTCATTTCTCCCTCCATGTCTTCCTCTTCTCTCTTCCCTTTCCTCCTCTCCTCTCCACCTCTTTTATTTCCCTTTTCTCCCCATCTTTTCTCTCTCTCCACTCTCATTTCTGTTCTCCTTCTTTTTCTCCCCTTCCCCCCTCACTTGTGGGTGTTAGACTTTGTTTCAGTAAAGATTCTGGCATCTAAAAAGAAAAAATAAGGATCCATGCTCTCTTATCAAGGTTTATTTCAGTTTGCCTGTGCAAAGCATAACTTAGGCAATTTTATGATTTGAGAGTATAAAATACTCTACTTTTTAATTTTGTTAATGAAAATTATTAATCTGTGCTTATTCTATACTGTCCTATTTCCTATTGCTACTATAACAAATTACTATGATTTTATTTATTTACTTATTTTTATTTATTTGTTTTTTAGAAATGGGGTCTCATTAGGTTGCCCAGTCTAGGCTCAAACCCAGGGGCTCAAGCAATCCCTTTGCTTCAGCCTCCTGAGTAGCTGGGACTACAGGTATTGTGGCTCAAATTGCCATGATTTTAGTGGCTTAAAATAACACAAATGTATTATCTTATAGTTCTGGAAGTCAAAAGTCTGAATACTGGGCTTATTTAGTCACTGGGCTGAAACCTGAGATAACAATTTAGTCACTATGCTAAAATTGTGCTATCACAGGGCTATATTCCTTTGTAACAGCTCCAGGAGTGAATCTGTTTCCTTGCCTTTTGTAGCTTCTTTTGTTGGGGTGCCCTCCCATCTTCAAAGCTAGCGACTTCTGCCTGAGTATTTCTCAGGCTGCATCCCTCTGACTATCTGCCTCCCTGTTTTACTTATAAGGACCTTGGTGGTTACTGGGCCCACCCAGTAATCCCAGATAATCTCCTACTTCAAGATCTGCTAGAGAGCAATTTAACTCCAACTCCAACCTTAACTCTCCTTTGCCTTGTAACATACTTGCACATTCTGAGGACTGGGATGGGAACATCTTGGGAATATTTTTCTGCCTATAACATCTGCTTAACAACAGCTGGAAGTAATAACACAGGTAGAACAGTTTTAAATATCAAGTGACTATCATTGGCATATAGTGTGATTCTAATGGGAAGATTCTTTCAATCGCTTAAATCTGTTAACAGGTTTTGTTATTTTAATTTTGCTTTTGTGTGCTCCCTCTTTTCCAGAATCTGAGAGAATTAGCATGGCATGAGAGTAGAAATATTTGAATTCCAAAATGGAAAAAAGTTAACATCAAGAAAACATCAAATTCCCATCCCAATTTGAGAGGGGAGCTGTAGCTAGAAATGGAGCTAGCAAGACTTGTGTGGTTTGGGGGTAAAAATATCCCAACCTGAACAGCCTGTCCTCCAAGGGACCGATCTAACTGAACAGTCAGGAACGCAGATGTGGTCAGCTCATCCCTTGTGGCATTCGCTCCTTGCCTAGAGGAATCAAAGTAAAATAAATTAGCTTGTTTTCAAGTTTTAAGATCTTCTCATGTAGGCATTGCAAGTAGAGACTTAAATTATTATGAAACATCAAGAAGAAACTGTTTTAACATGATATGAGCTGTCAAAACTATTTTTTTCCAAAGTGCTAACATTGAGCCATGAATGGTCCTGTGTATTGTCTAGAAATATATGTGGTAGGCATTTTTATCTCCATTTTAAGGACATTGGGCTTTTGCTGCTTACATAAGTTAGCTAAGTAATCAAGTCCATCTGATTCCAAGTTGGAACTGCCTATTTTTGGAAAATCATCTCATACTGAAAATAATCCATCTGAGTATAAGAATATGAGCCAAACTATTAGGCTGGATATTAGAGGCATTTTATGTTTCTATGAATATTTGCGAGCATAGAACTAACTGCCTGGAACCCAGAAAAATCAAGAAAATAATCATCAGAAGTCAGCAGTGGAGAAGCCCTATCTTGTCATTCTAGCGATTCTATAAGGAATTATTAGCAAAGCTGTACAAGAGGCTAATCTCTCAGTGCCCAGATAAAGTCAATAAGATCAATTGATTTGTCCAGTTCATTTGCAACTTCTCTTCCTAGGGTAGCTTTTGGCTGTAACTCTGTATCACTTTAACCTATAAAGTAACCTTTGGGAGATCTGCCTGTTTGATGAGCCTGTGGAGGAAAAAAAAAAAAAAAAACAAACCAAAACAAAACCCAAAACAGCCTAAGCATTCATTAAGCACTGTTTGTTTATAGCCAACTTTCCCATCTCTATCTGGCAGCAGGAATATTAACCTTGAAATTAGATTTTGAAAGTTATCCATGTCTTTCCTTCTGAAACTTTGACAGTAACCTGTTCCATATTCAGAACAGATTAAAATAACCCGCCACCTTGGGCAACACACACCCACAACCCCCAACACACTGGGAGCAGGTTGTATATCTTGTCACAGAATTTTTCATTTGGCCAGCATAGGCAAATGGTTGATGTAAAAATGTTCTACAGAGGGGTGCAAAAAAAGAAAAAAGAATGCACACTTTATAAGAAAATTAAAACAAATGCTTTCTAGATTTCAGTTTCTTGAACAACAATAATAAAAAAAAAGAAAAGAAATTAAAATTAAAAACAAAACAAGGCCTGGCGCGGTGGCTCACGCCTGTAATCCTAGCACTTTGGGAGGCCGAGGCGGGCGGATTGCTCAAGGTCAGGAGTTCGAAACCAGCCTGAGCGAGACCCCGTCTCTACCAAAAATAGAAAGAAATTAATTGACCAACTAAAAAAATATATATAAAAAATTAGCCGGGCATGGTGGCGCATGCCTGTAGTTCCAGCTACTCGGGAGGCTGAGGCAGGAGGATTGGTGAGCCCAGGAGTTTGAGGTTGCTGTGAGCCAGGCTGACACCACGGCACTCACTCTAGCCTGGGCAACAAAGTGAGACTCTGTCTCAAAAAAAAAACAAAAAAAAAAAAACAAATGCTTTCCCTAATAAAGATATTCATAAAAAGGTAGGCTTTTAATGTTAATACCCTAAATTTTTCAGGAGCCTATAATGCTAACAAACACCTCTGTGAGCCACCCAGAGCACAAGGTGGGGGGCAATGCAGAGCTGCGGGTGACACTGCACAGTGCACAGCAGGTTTTGTTATCATGCACTACTTCTTGGTCACATCTGTGGTTTCCTGACTTCTCACTTCTGGCTGTTGTTAAAAATGGCTGCTTTCCATTTTGCTTTCATTCTGGAGGAAAAAAAATTCAACCACCTAACAGATAATAGCATCCAACTTTTGTCTTCATTTTGCTCTTTTTTTCTTGGAGTAGTTAAACCAGCAAAGCTGAAAAACATCACCAAACTTTGCCTTCTGATACTCTTAACATATACTTGACTATTTATCTGGAACCTTTCTTCCTGTTTCTGTCAGAGTGCCAGGCTCCCATCCACACAGATTCAAACTAATCTGCTTTATGGATCTATGACCCAGAAGGTCAAGTATTCTATAACCGTGAAGCGTAATACAGTCGATCTTTGTTTCTAATTTTAAGATCCTGTGCTTAGGGGGAAAAAGAAAAAGGAAAAAAGCAATCTACTTTGACATGATTTCTGCTTTATAAACCTGTGGTACTTGTTGCTCATTAAATATGAATGCTGCATAAAAATGTACCACTTCAAGAGATTCATCATTGTCATTTGTTCAATACCAATTACCTGACATTTTAGAGAAAAGAACACTGCTGAAATTATTTTTCTCCTATCATTTCAGCATATAAGTGATTTCAGAGCTAAAAAAGACGTTTGTATATTCAAAAGTCAGTTTTTTAATTCTAGTCGTTCACCTTCGACTCTGCTTCTTGGACTTAATTTATTGACATCCCTCTATCAAGATTATCACATAAACTGGAAAGTTGTTTTATTTGAAAGCCAGTCTTCAAGAGAACTGCTTATTTCCTAAATGCTTCTTTACGGAAGCTTTTGAAGTTCCACAAACATTAACATTAACAAAGTTACATAGTTATCATATATGATTTTAAATGGCAAAGACCCACAAAAGGGTTCTCAAGTATCTAACTTACATCCTTGATATCTCAAAAATGTGTATACATTTTCATCATAGAAAAGTTGAACACTTCAAGTTATATAGAAGAAAACTAAATGACCATCCTCTCCAGTCCCATTGCAAAGATAGTAGCTATTAACAGTGTGGTGCACTGTCATTGTCTTCTTTTCCTCACTGAATTTTTTACAGTGTGGGCCAAACCTGTCTTTCTCCTGAATGCTTTATCCCAGTAAATAAAATACTACGCACTTATGTTCAGCCCAGAAACCCAGGCATCATCCTTGACTTTGTCATCTTCTCCATTTTCCGTAACCAATCTTTCTGATGCTATCTCCTTGACACCTTGCAAATCTGTCTCATGCTTTCCTCCCTTGTTGTCTGCATCCTTACACTGAATTCAGCCACATTATCACTCAGCTGGATTACTGGAACACATTCCCAATGGAATCCAATCCATTCCTCCACCTAAGCATTCTTTAGACATCAATCAGAATAATTTTTCTAAAATAAAACCAATCATGTAATTCCTCTTTGCAAACTCTTTGAGTGGCCCCCAATGTGCTAAAAATAAAGTTCATCCTCATCAGCATGGTTTATAAGGTCATTCATAATTTTGCTTCTTCTAAATTCTCTGGTTTTATCTTTTGCTCCTTAAATGTGCTCCAGCCATTCTTTATTACACGTAGATTAGAGCACACCTTTTCCTGCACTGCCTGGAACAAATTCCTTATTTGCTTACCTGTCTAGCTCCCACTTCTGCCCCCACTTAGATGTCACTTTTTCTATTACCAGTAGTCTATATTAGTCTGTTTTCTGTTGCTTGTAACAGAATAACTAAAACTGGGTTCTTTATAAAGAAAAGGAGTTTATTTCTTAGCTTGATGAAGGCTGAGAAGCCCAAGGTCAAGGGGTCTCATCTGGTGAGGGCCTTCTTGCTGGTGGGGACTCTCTGCAGAGTTCTAAGGTGACACAGCACAGTATCATATGGTGAGGGGGCTGAGTGTGCTAGCTCAAGTCTTTCTTCCTTTTCTTATAAAGCCCCCAGTCCCATTCCCATGATAACCTATTTTCACCATAATCCATAAATGGATTAACCCTTTGCACTCACTTGCTTTTTTTCTCATTATCCACTCGACATTATCCACACTCCACACTCAACATCAGAGTGCAAAGGGTTAATCCATTCACGAGGGCTTTAGTCTCTCAAAGGCACCACCTCTCAATATTACCACATTGGGGATTAAGTTTCAACATGAGCTTTGGAGGGGACAAATATTCAACCAATAGCAGAGCCTTTCACCAACAGCCCAGGAGTGAGGTTGGTGGAGAGGAGGGAGGTTGTCTATAATTACCCAAGGAACACTCAGCTTGATCTTATCTTAAAATACTTTATATTGCAATAAAAATGCCTGTTAGTCATCTGCTTTTCTTTAAGAATAAGTTCTTGAGGGTACAGGTCTTTTTTTTTTCCCTACTGTTTCTGACACATACAACTAGTACAATATCTGATACATACAGTGCTCAATAAACACTTCCAAATGACTTAAGAAATATGGACATTTATTCATAAGATTTTAAAGCTGATTTAATACACTTTAGTTATATCTACATAAGTATTTATGCAGATTGTAAATTGTTAATTTCTCAAAACATTCTCCTGAATTGCTTCTTTTTTTTTTTTTTTTTTTTTTTTTTTTGAGACAGAGTCTCGCTTTGTTGTCCAGGCTAGAGTGAGTGCCGTGGCGTCAGCCTAGCTCACAGCAACCTCAAATTCCTGGGCTTGAGTGATCCTTCTGCCTCAGCCTCCCGAGTAGCTGGGACTACAGGCATGTGCCACCATGCCCGGCTAATTTTTGTGTATATATATATATCAGTTGGCCAATTAATTTCTTTCTATTTATAGTAGAGACGGGGTCTCGCTCTTGCTCAGGCTGGTTTTGAACTCCTGACCTTGAGCAATCCGCCCGCCTCAGCCTCCCAAGAGCTAGGATTACAGGCGTGAGCCACCGCGCCCGGCCCTGAATTGCTTCTTTAGTCATTTTTTATTTCTTGTAAGTGCACAATCAATTTTTACACTCAAAGAGAATTAAGAGCAAGACAATGAAACGAAATCTAAAAGAAAAGCTGACTGGGAATAATTAATTTATACCTGTCGAGGCCTTATTTTGCACAAACACTTTTCTGAATTAAGATTTTAGAAAAGGAAGTTGCAAAATAAGGACATACCTACCCAGTATAGATATACCCAGGCCTTAGAGTTAAAGACCTACAGATCAAGATTTGAAATGTTGCTTCACCAGTTACAGCACTTGTGACTTTGGGTTAAAATATTTAACCTGTCTAATCTCCCTTCCCTTTTTTTTTTTGGAAGATAGATAATATATGGAAACATCCCGTACTTTGTTGGCAAAAACATGCTGCTCAAAAAAATGGTTGCTATTGAGATGGCATCCTAACCACAGAGCTAAATAGCTAAATACATTCATCTTGGATAGGATATGAAGTGATTGTGGGGTCAGAAATATCCCTGGGGGCAGTGGTTCACATCAGTGCAATGGTCTACATTAGAATCTCACCACCGGAGATTTTGATTTATTTAGTGTGGGTGAGGGCATTTAGATTTGTAAAATACTGTCCAGGTTATTCCAATGTACAACAAGTGTTTAGAACCACTTTCTAAGGCAGTGCTTGTCAATCATTAAAGTATATATGAGTCACCTGAGGACTTTGCTATAATGCAGGTTCTGCTTTAGTGGGTCAAAGGTGGGGCCTGAGCGTCTACATTTCTAACAAGCTCCCAGGTGACAGTGATGTTTCTGGTTCCCAGACCACCCTTTTGGTATCATCCGATCTCCTGAACTTGGCTGGGGCTCAAAGGCACTGAGCAGCGTACATGGCCAGACCGTGGGAATGGATGTTTTGCATGTGAGCCTCACCAAAGAGAAAAATCACCATGTCAGTGGAGGCCTGCCTGAATATGTGTACATCCAATATGCCTATTAAAGGTTGCCATCACCATGTAGGCTAAGGTAGGATCCTGCCCTGCCCTGCCCTTGTAACTTTCACCCACATTTCTCAACTTTAAGATCTTTCTTGAGAATTATTTTCTTTTTTTCAGCCTTCATAACAATATTCTATTTTACCTGGTTCACTTAATAAAAAGATAATTTCACCTTCTATGATTTGTTGTAGAATCCCTATCTGGTGAAAATAGCCCATCATGGTGTAGACCCTTAAATTACTTGGTTGGACATCTGGTTATTTCCTCCTTGAGTAGGATGTTAGTACTGACTCTAACCAAACCTAAACTTCAGTTAACTCAAAACATTATCCAAAACCATGTAAGATGTGCATACAATGGCATATTTTCTCCATTATTGTGAATTTAAAGTAAGCAAAGAATAAGGATGCATCAATTTGAGGTCTCTAGAGTATGCAATGGAATCACAAATCATATCCCCTAAAGGGTTTGCCTCCTTGCACCTTTGCAGCTTCAGTAAGGATGGGCCTCAGTGAATTTTACAATAAAAAGACATAGTACCCTACACTTGACATTGCATATAAGATGAGATATTCAACTACAAATCTACTAACAGAACATTACTGTTTAGAATAGTAAAACTTTTTTCCTAGACTCGACAGGATGATTTTTATGTGACTCTTCCTGCTTGTGGACAGCAGCTACAAACATAGTCAAAATGTCAAAGAGATATATTATGTGCATGCTGTACAAATCTCTCTGGGGTAACTATAGGATTATTTTGTCCCATACCTCATGGAATTTAATTCTTTGGAGTAAAATCTGGCCCCTGTAGAATGTGAGATCTTTGCTAGAGGTAAACTTACCAAGTGTAGATAATCTGTCCTCTGGCATAAGTGTAGAGTATAATGTAGCAGTCACCACCATAGAATTCACCATATGAGTCTTGGTCAACTGGGATCCTACCATTGCTTTCTACACGCCAAATCTGAAAGAAATGAAATATACATACTAAACTAAAATTTTCTTGATCTAATAATACTTTTCATAAGCTTTAAATAATTTTTGGCTCAAATTTAATACTGAACAACTTTTAAATTATTTTTAACTAGATTACAAATTAAGCAAAGGAAAGAAATTTTTATCAGTTTGACAATCTGTTGACTTTTTAAATGCTTTTATATTTCATTTGCTTTCTCTGTAGTATTTATTATAGCTCAGTTCTGAGCCTGTTGATTAATAAATATCTATTGTTTGATACATCAGTGAAAATAACCAAACACTCTAGTGGAATAAAAAGCTGCAATATTTAGCTCAGAAATATATCTCAACTTTATAGAAAATTTTTTTCATCAGTTATGAAATATTTTTTTCCCTGTCCTTTAATACATGAGATTATTATTTTCCCAGGTGAGAGTTGGTAGACAGTGACCAAAAAAATTAAGATGCTGCAATGGAATGAATGTTTGAGTTCCCCCAAGATTCATGTAGAAATCCTAACCCCCAATGCAATGGAATTAGGTAGTAGGGAATTTGGAAGATAACAAGGTCATGAGGGTAGAGTCCTCAAGATGGGATTAGTGTCCTGATAGCCAGACACCTCTCAAGCTCCTTTTTCACCATGTGAGGACACAGTGAAAAGACAACTGTCTATGAACCAAGAAGTGAACCACCACCAAGCACGGAACCCATCAAAACCTTGACCTTGGATTGGCTAGCCTCAAGAACTGTAAGAAATAAATGCTTGTTGTTTAAGCCCTTCATCTATGGTATTTCTGTCATAGAAGCCTGAACAAGCTAAGGTAGGTGCTAATAGCATGACTTTTATTTTCAAAAGGTGCCATCCAGGCATAAGATCAAAAAGATACAACAAGGGATAAAAGCAGATGGAATTATATTTATTCCACCTCGTCATCTTCATTACAGATTAAAGATTCTCCAAGTTGGAGAGAGGAGAGTTGTAGATGAAATAGGAGAGTAACAAATGAGTGAGAGGCTGCTAAGCACTGTGTGTGCACACTTGTGCGCACACACACCTCCTCCCCATGGGTCCTGGGGAGGGGGCGGGGCAAATCCTCCGCTTTGAAGTCTTCAGGAGCCCTGTGGAGTGCAGCAGTGCCGTGCTGTCAGAGAGATGCCTTCCTTCACTATCCCAATGAGCAGAGGAGAAATGGCAGCATGGCCTCATTACACCCAAGAGCCTACAGAGAGCCCCCAAATTTCAGCAGCCCTAGGGTGGCACAGGAGGACTTCTCAGAGATGTTGTGGTCTGAAATGGAAACTGCAGCAGGGACAGAGCCGGTGCTGGGAACCAAGCCTGCCACGAGAGCCCTCTGGCTGTGTTGCCTGTGCTGAGCTCCAGAAAGGATGTCTGAGCAGGAGCCAGACCCACACCCGAAGTTTATACTCCCTCCCACAGCAGCCATGAGGGAATTTGTGACCTTCTCCCCTGGCATTTCCCACTCACCAACCTCTGTGCACATTAGAATCACACTCATGTCTTTGAAAAGAGGAAAAATTATTTCCCAAATTTCTTCACCATATACCTTGGTTTAAGCATTGTGCTAAGACCTAAGACTATAGAGATAAAATATTTAATTCCTGTCCTCAAGGGACTGATGAAAGAAACCTGTAAGTAAAGGAACAATTCTGTGGCATTTAAATGATAAATTCTGTGAAAAATATCACTAAGGGTTTGAGCACAAAGAAAGGTCATTTCAGCTCTGAGGAAAGCCTTCTCAGAACAGGTGTGGCTTGTGATTTAACTGAGTTGCCAAGGAGTGTGGGAACATTAGTCAGATGGCAGAGGGGAAGAGTTATGAAGCTGAGAGGAGGACAAGGGTCAAATCATGGAAGGCCTTGCAGGCCCAGGTGAAGATGGATATTTTCAAGAAAGCCATGGCTTTCTTGATGGCTGTGGGAGCCATCAAAATATTTTAAAATGGAGAGTGATATCATCCAGTTCTCATTAATTTAGACGATTCAAGAGTGGATTGAGTATGACTTAGGGAGAATGATTATGGGATTTTTTTTTTTAGCAATTTCGGCCTAAAATGGAATAATCAACAAACTCAATTCCAATGCTCTAAAAATATCTGTGTTTTTAGCACATACTCAGGAACAATTTGCTTTCATAAATTCCCCCAATGTGTGGGAGAAGGAAAAACTGACAGTGGATGGTGCAGCTGAAGCAGCACATCCTTAATGGACAATCTCAAAACATGGAATTTTCCAGAGAAAGAACAGTCTCCACCAGGTAACAAAATAGCTGGGTTCCACGTCAGATCTCTAAGACGATAAATAGGTGATCTTCCACAAATGTAACTTTTTGGGCTCTCAGCATAGACATTTGTAAAATGGAGATGAAGGTCAGATAATACCTCTTCTAGCTTTAAATTCTGTGTTAGTAGATAGTCTTGCACCACCTTTATTGCTGAGCAAAATTCACATTTGAAAATGTTTGCAGTTCCCTGAAGTTATATTAATATTTCTACATAAACTGTCTTAAATGGGCTTGATAAAAACAAACAAAAACAGGTAAATACCTCCACTTTTCCAGAACCGTCATCCACCATATTGTGCTGTGCCGCCATCTGTGGGGAACTATGTAATTTTGAAGCATCAAATGGAATTTGTTTTATTTGAGCCACTTTCTCTGTGACATAGACCTTTCCGAATCCATCACTTTGTTCTTTATCTTTCCAGTCCTTAAAGAATTGTTTGAAGATTGGTGTTTCACCTCCTTCTGGAAGAACTTGAATCTGAAATTTAAAGACATGATAATAATAAACAGAAAAATAAGAGATTGAGGAAAAAATAAGAATCTAGTAGTGGAGAAAGTACCAAGGAAATGAAAAGATTATCCTGGTTTTTGTGATTACAGATGTAAAACTTAGAAGCCTATGAAGCTTCAATAATACAACCATGTTTTTCCTCAAAGGTAAAGTAATTGCCACTGAATTTGAATGTTTGAAATAAAAATAAAGTTCTTTCATATGTTACCACTGTAGTCAAATAAGTTCGCCTTTCTACATTAGGGTCACAAGAGATCTGTGACCCGGAAGATATTATCTCATTGTGTCAGGATATAAAAATGAAGAGAGTAGATGAGGCTGAGAGATTCAGAGAGGAAAAAAGTAATTAGCTAAGTTAGCTAAGTTGATCTTGATGAAGATAAATATTATCTTATCTGGATCTGCACAACTTGCTCTAAGGCATAAACGATAAGTGCTGTTAATTCAACTGTAGTTTATTATCTTGAATTAAAGACTGTAGAGGAAGTGAATGGGTGGGTGGCCCTGTGGATCTCCTGATATTCAGTTTCTGCAAAATTCTATCCTCCACATAGGTAAAGTACCAGGGACATAGGACAGAAGATTGCACACACTCAAGTCGAGAATGACTTCATATACATGACAGACATTACTGTAAACCATTTTTTTTCATGAGTTTTGTGGAGATGTCACGAGCTCCTGTGCTTTCAAGTTTTTTCTAGGCATTTCATTTTCACACATACTTGAGTATTGGTGGGATAATTCATTTGCTGTAGGAATTCTTCAGCTGTTTTCATTGCAGCCTTCCTCTCCTGGGGATTTGCATTTTTACCTAAAATACAAGGTAAATTAAGAAGACAACTTCTGAGAGGGAAGACATTATATGATTAAGGAATGCCTGTGTACAAAAATAAACATAACTTAATGTAAATAAAGTAATAAAAGAATAGCAAAAATTTCTTAGCATATTAAATATATTTAACAATGCAATAATGAATGCTATTTATAAAAAAAGCTTCTTTTTATATTTTCTGAGTGCTTTTTAAACTCAATAATTCTTGGTAAATGATGCTGGTAGGAGGAAAATGGCTGCATTTTACAGGACACAATTAAAGATCAATTATTTCTTTTTTTTGAGGCAGAGTCTCATTCTGTTGCCTGGGCTAGAGTGCTGTGGCATCAGCCTAGCTCACAGCAACCTCAAACTCCTGAGCTCAAGCGATCCTCCTGCCTCAGCCTCCCGAGTAGCTGGGATGACAGGCATGCACCACCATCCTCTGCTAATTTTTTCTATGTATTTTAGTTGGCCAATTATAATTTTTTTCTATTTTTAGTGGAGAAAGAGTCTCGCTCTTGCTCAGGCTGGTTTCGAACTCCTGACCTTGAGCGATCCTCCCACCTCAGCCTCCCAGAGTGCTAGGATTACAGGCACAAGCCACTGTGCCCGGTCAAGATCAATTCTTAAAAGTAGGCTTTAAAAAAAAAAAACTGAAGAAATATTTTCTTTACTCTTCTGAGGAAATATCTACAAATCTGAAATGCAGCAATAATGTCATTGGCATTATTTTACCTTTCCATACGAAAATTTGTTTTGCAGCACCATGGTCCAAAATAAAGCATTCTTCAGAAAGCAGCATTGCCATGGAGAAGGGGTTTTCTTCTGCCACCACAGTCACTGTCATGGAGCCACTTGCATCTGAAACCTAATAGAAAAACCATGAGCTCCACAGTTTCATTTTGGGAAGATAAAGATGTTCTAAAATTAGATTATGATGATGGTTGCATAATTCTTTAAATGTAATAAAACCTTACACTGTGCACTTTAAATGGGCGAGCTTTATGGTATGTAAATTATACCTCAATAAAGCTGTTTCAACAAATTTAAAAAGTCCACAAGCCCAAACTTATACCTCAAAAGGTTTTTTTAAATCCTTTGATGTAAAAGAACTATAAATAAAAAGTTAAGTTTGACACTATGCCTAAAACATCACAAGTTAACAGTGACATTAATAATAATAATTATGATGGTTAAGGTTTACTGAGATGCTCATATGTGCTAAGCACCATGTGATGAACTTTACATGATTATTTCTCTTAAATTTTAGAGCAGTCTTTTCAAGTAAGTAATAATCTTACACTTGTTGTATATACATGAAAAGCTAAAGTTTAAACATTCTTTCAGTCAACATCTCCTGAGTGTCTACTATATGCCAGGCACTTTGTTAAGGAAAGTGTTGATATATTATAATTTATACATAAAGATTTTTTTCAATATAGTACACGCAATTTAAGTACACTTTGTATAAACTATCAAAGTAAATTTCTTCTGCCATGTTTAGAAATGACTGCAGAACATTTTTTTTTTTAATTTGTAGGTGGTCTTAGAAAATTGAAAGTGATATTAATGTGCAGGTTAGAATTCACTGGTTTTCCAATGCCAGCTTGAAGGCTACAATGTAATTACCTGAGCACTTGTTAAATATGCAGATTCCAGGGCCCTCCCTAGATCAGTGGTTGGATTTTGCAGCAACAGGGTAGAGTTGGAATTCTGTATTTTTAGAAAGTGCCCCAGGTGATCCTGCTTCCCAGTCTTGCTTGGCAACCCCAAATTATTTTCCAATGGACTTAATACTTTAGATTGTGTAATACATTATAGTTCCACTAGAGGAAGCCATGATTCAAGATTAACATTTTCCCACTTAAAAAATATTTCTTTAGTCTGTAATGCTGTCTAAGAGGGAGAATAGTTTTGATTGTTTTTGATTGATGATATAACATAAAAAGGGGTGGTATTTAGTAGAAATGGTCAACATATTTCCCTTCACCATCTAGAAATAAAAGAATAAATTTCTCCACTATGAAAAGGAAGTTACGCTGCACAAGTTAGTAGCTTGTGCACAAGTTAGTAGCTTGATCTTCATTTAAAATCACAGAATTTCTCAGCTAGAAAGACCCTTAAAGAGCTGCAAATATAATTTTTTCCTCTTACAGATAAGAAAACTACAAAATTCTGCAAGGAAGTTAAGATCTGGTCCAAATCACATGCAAACAAATTTGCCAGGGGAGGGAACACTTGAAGAATCCCATTTTAGCAGTCTCCTTAACTGGTATGTCTTGTGGCTTTTGTTACCCTCACCAGCAATAAAATCATAAAATTATATAGTTGGAAGGAACCTGAGTAATCATCTAATATAATCTCTTTTTGTTCAGGTAAGAATACTAAGACTTTGCCCAAGGCCACATAGCCAGTCTTTTGCCAGAGAGCTGACACAGCACTAGGTCTGCCAATGCTCAGGATAGGGCTGTGTTAATACCATTTCTTCTAGCTATTTGATTTCATAGCTTTGCCCACCTGTAATAAAGAAAGCCTTCATTATAGCTAAATAGGATGTTTTAAATACAGTGACGATTTTATAATCTGATCAAGATTATAAAAGAAATGATATAAGAAATTAACATTTGAGGCTAGATGATTTAAAAAATTATAAGAAAAAGCTTACAAAATATTTTACTCTAGAAAAGAAACATTTTATCTAGTGCCATATATCAAAATACATTGTTGCAAGCTAGCACAGCAACAATATATAATTTTATGTAAGTCATAGCAATAAATTCATTTATTTGTTGTTGTGAATAAAAATAACAAAAAGTAATAAAAAGAATAATTTTAATAAATATAAAAGGGCAAAAATCTGATTCTATCTACACATTTCTCTTGGAAGGCAATGAGGAGAGTTATCAACAGCAAAGAGAGTCTCTCCAGAAACAGGCCTCTCCTATTACATCCAGTCCAGCAGAAACAACGGAACTTATTAGCAGTGAACTCACCATGTAAAGTTTAGCCATTTTCCTGTTACTTATGTCTGCTACTATGTCGTCTTCATTGTCTTCATCCCGAATCTCTGGCTTTTTCCCTAAAGCCTGGAAAACGGTGAACAATGGATGAAAGATAAAGACTTCTCATTAAAGGATCCAGAGTTTAAAAAATAGTAAACCATCTTACACATATAAAGACATCGATTATAAAATATTTGTAATTAAAATTATCAGGTTCAAACATTTCTCATCAATTCATACAATGTAGGCCTTTGTCCCATGGGTCAAATCAATCAATGGCATTAAGTAAACAAGCACTGAGTTTGCTGGTGATGTGAATTTCTAAGAAAGCAAAATCCCAAGTTTGAAAGTCTAGGTGTCCATATTATTGAAAACTAGCAGGAACTAATTAAAATATGAGTTCAAAATTCAGTTCTGTAGCAGAATTGCTTCCATGACCTCTGATTCTAGAAATAATCTATAAGTTTTATTAATTTATTATTATAAAGACTTGGATCAAAGTTACTATTTGAAGGTAAAATACTATTACCATTATTGACATATGGTAGGATAGATAAAATGCAAGTTCATGCTTTGTTTCCTGCTGTATCCTTGGCACTCAGAATAGTGCTTCAGACATAGTACATGCTCAGTAAGTATTTGTCAAATGAATGAATAAATATACTTATATATTCTTTGCATACGTGATGTAATCCAAAAGTTCAAGTAACATGTTTGGTAGAAAATACACTTGAATCTGCTCTTAATTTATGTTAAAATCACAACAAATATGTCTATAAGCACTTTAATTCTTTAAATTAATCGATACAAATAGCATAGAATGTTAAAGTCAAGAATAAAATATAAACTTACTCCAAATAATGTGATTTTTATTACATTATAGATATGAATTCATATCTATAATGCAAAGAGGTGTTCATTTAGATCCAAAAATATTTAATAGACAACGAATTCCTTGTGTAATGTGTTTTATACTCAGTAGTCCTTGTATATCGCTTAAAAATATAAACTGCTAGATATTGCACAACAATAAAAATGTACATAAAACTTGCATAAGTACAAGTACAATCTCTAGTTTAGATATGCATCAGAGAATTTACCTCCTCTGGGAACACGCCCATCTTTTTGTTCACAGTGTGATCAATAAAATGTTTTAAATACTGTACCTGCTAAATGATAGTAACATAGGTGTTCTTTTTTGTTAAAAGTAGGATCAAGCCAAAAATTAACACACTTGCAACCAAAAGCCTTTTTTTAAATGCTTTTTAAAAATATTTTTTAAAATCATTTTTACCTTGATAGAAGTATATACAGCTTATAAGAGCTGTCAAAGGTCTCCTCATATACTCTTTTCTAATTCTACTCCAAGCAAGACAGTAGTTTGGAATAAACAGTTTGGGTTTAGGGCATATCTAACACTGGGAAATCTCTCAGCAGGCCAATTGAGTCTGGGATTTGGAGCATGGTTTAACTTTTAATTTTCAGACAATTCCTATTGTCTGATATTAGCCAGGTATCTTAATTGGCCTCTCAAAGGACTGTGGCATAGTTGTAAATTGAACCCAAAGGACTTTCTAAAAACAGGCTTAACTTCAGGGGTAGGGGAATGCTGTATATCGTCTGGTATCTCTAAGGGTCATTTTAAAATTCAGTTCAACAACTAAGCATTTATCAAATACCTCACTGGGACATATAAACCGGTTTCCAACCACCTTGGCCAAGCCTTAAGTACTTTACATTCTGCCTAGAAAAAGCAAAATAATTAAATATATTCACTCTATCAACTATGCCATACGTTTTGATCTTTGATGAAATAAACTGTAAATTCAGCTTTTAGGATCATGCCTAAATTTAAAAAACTTTCATTTTAGCATTTTAGCATTAGTCCATGTGATTCGTATTTAGCTCATAGAATCCTTGTGTGTGAAATAACATATATTTTCACAATTTAAAGAGGTAAGAAAACAGAGAAGCCTTATTTGAGGGTGTTCCATAAAAATTTCATCTACTGCTCTAGCCAAAATCTGTCACTCAATGTTAGAATCCTCTTTCTTTCATCTATTTCCTTAAGTTTTCATTTAAAAGCATCACTGTCATCTAATATGCTACACACTGAACATACTACCTACAAAACTCACCATTCCCAATTCTCCATTTGTGTCAGTGTATCTCTATTCTCTTTACATAGACTTTAAAATCATGTGGACAGTTTTGAATACTTTCTTTCATCCAGTTTGAATCTAATACCTACTTAGTCTTTAAATTCTATTTTTTACGATAATGCTGAGAGAGTCACTGACTCCTTTACTCAGACCTTGGTGAAGGCCTTCATCTCTCTTGTCATGGGTTATAGCTACTCCTGTCAATTCCATCCTGCCTTCAGTTTCACCTTATCTTTTTATCCTAAAAATGATTCTGTTCACTGGCCAGAAGGCCCCTTATTTCACATTACTCCTGTGTTTTAAGAGCATGACTCTAGATCAAGGAAATCCTGCCATTTGCAACAACATGGATAAACCTATAGGACATTATGCTAAGTGACATAAGCCAGACACAGAAAGACAAAAGACTGCCTGACTTCACTAATATGTGGACTCCAAAATAGTCCAACTCATAGAAACAGAGAGTCCTAGAATGGTGGTTACCAGGGATTGGGGAGTAGGGAAATGGGGAAGTGTTGGTGAAAGGGCACAAACAAACTTTCAGTTATATACTGAATGTGTTCTGGAGACTTAATGTACAGCATACTGGCTATAGCTATTGATAATATGTTGTATACTTGAAGTTTGCTAGGAGAGTAGATCTTAAATTCTCTCACCACCCACATACACATACACACACACACACACACACAAAATGCGAGGTGATGTTAATTAGCTTGATTGTGGTAATCATTTCACAATTTAAACACTTATCAAAATGTCACATTTATACCTTATATATGTACAATTTTTATTTTCCAATCATACTTTAAAAACTCTGAAAAAAATTTAAAAATAAAAATTACATCTTATATCTGCACACAATATCTGGGTGATTTCATAAAAATGCAGATTCCAAACTGCCAGCTATTGTCAATAAACAGGTCTAGGGTGAGGCCCAGGAATCTGCAATCCAGATTATTCTGAATTGGATGCTTACCATACAGAACCAAAATGTCTCTGGATGTGATCTTCCCTGCGTTATTTTTCAGCATACTCTACCTGGCACCCTTCTCTAATTAGAATGACATTCTCGGTGTCCCCTTTGGGAACTACACTTATTCCTTCCCCTGGGCTTCAACTAATGTTGTATGTAACTTCTATCTAGGTAGACTGGGTGTGGCAGAAGCAAAACTGAGCATTATTCTTTGGTTGGTTCAGCTAATTATAATTAATACAGCAATAGCACTTGTTGACATCTACCGTGATACAGATACAAGGATGAAATGACATGTTTTGGTCAGTAACTTAATGGAAATGTTTAGCAACGTAAGACACTACTCCCAGTACATTAAAGAGGTTGGACATTTGTGAAAATATAACTTGGTTCTCTGCCTAAATAGATTTTTTCTGCTGTCAACAGGAGTTCAATTCAAAATAAATCAGAAGAAATTTATATTAATAGAGCAATTTATATTAAATTTATATTAAACAATTCTAGTTTCGGATTCATAATCACCTAGCTTCAGAATTTCTAGGTTCTCATGACCTGTGTCAAGACTACTCCTGGTGGAGTTTTTTGTCCCCTACACAACTCAGGGTGTGACTGAGTTGGGTAACTTTTTCTTTTAAAACTTAAATAGACCTATGTGGAAATTAGTTAAGAAAGGACCAGGCAGTTAAAAAAAATTACTGTATCCTCTTAATTCTTAGTTTTCACAGCATGTGTATCTGTTTTTATTTGTTTATTTATTTATTTATTTTTGAGACAGAGTCTCACTTTGTTGCCCAAGCCAGAGTGAGTGCCGTGGCGTCAACATAGCTCACAGCAACCTCAAACTCCTGGGCTCAAGCAATCCTGCTGCCTCAGCCTCCCGAGTAGCTGGGACTACAGGCATGCGCCAACATGCCTGGGTAATTTTTTCTATATATATTAGTTGGCCAATTAATTTCTTTCTATTTATAGTAGAGACGGGGTCTTGCTCTTGCTCAAGCTGGTTTTGAACTCCTGACCTCGAGCAATCCGCCCGCCTCGGCCTCCCAGAGAGCTAGGATTACAGGCGTGAGCCACCTCACCCAGCCTGTTTATTTATTTTTTATCTTTTAGCCAACTCCACCTAGTTTGGATATGAAATTCCAACATTTACCACTTGCATATTTTCAAAATGGGTTTTCTTCCTTTTATATAAAGGTCAAGACATTTTTGGCCACTTCAGACTAAGTATTTCAAGTGCATCATCGGAAAAGGACAATAATATATGACCTGGAGGACAATACACAACTCAAAGTTCTAGAGCACTTTCGATGAAAATGTTCCACGTTGCTGCCAAGTCCTAAAGTCGTTTAATGTAGAGGGTCTTATGTGCTTCCCGGGAGAACTCTGAGAGGTGGGCAGGATCAGTATCATGATTACATCAGTTTGATAGATTAAGAAAAAGAGGCTGAGAGAAGTTAGGAGTTTTGCTTTAGTCCATAGCTCCTAAATATTTAAGCCAAGATGTAAATCCCAGGCCATTTTAAAATCTACTTCAGTATTATTTATATTGAAAATGAGGCATTCTATTCTTCTTACGTTAATCATTTTAGGGTGGATAGCTCTGCTTCTATTTTCACCATAAACAGAGTAAGTTCTCAGGTTCCAAGAGAGAACATTTTAATTACTTAGTAATTTAATATCTAATCTCCTTTCCCTAACTGAAAAACAATCAGTAAGTTACAAGCATATGGAGCATAGAAATAAATTGTAAAGGTGAAGTGCATCCTTGCAGTTATAGCGTATTTACTTGCTGCAAGGCATTGTATGTCTTAGGTGAGACAAATATTTGGTAAGAGGGAAGATCCACAGAGATATAAAAGGGCAAGCAATTCCTAGGAAAGCTGTGGTCTGGTTTAGCCAGCTCCACCTAATCTGGATGTGAGAGTCCAACATTTACTCTGCTGTTC